GGTTACTATCAAGATGATGTTGGTCCATCAATGGAAAACCATCAAAAACTTTAACTTTGGGTAACAATACTAAAACGGTCAAAGTTTCATTCAACGAATGTGATGCGATTCGCCAATCGTCTGGCCCTACGTTTTGAGCATCTCCTGTAGAAGTGTTGATCGTAGATGTAAGGAAATAAGAGTGAAAATAATATTATATTGATTTTTGTTTATTATTCTTGTTGTGTATATTTTACCTAGAGCAGGGCTCGAAAAAACTCAAAACTTTTACCCGTTCCCGAGGACGACTTGTCCAACATTGTGCCCGTCCTCCTTTGAAACTAACCCGTAGCTTCTAAATAAATAATAATATAATTTTCTCTTATTTATTACAAACATTTATCTAAATTGCACAATGAATTAGTAGTTACTAGGATTACAAATGCTAGGATTACATTGTACAGTAATAAAAGAAATACTAGGTTACTAATAGTAACCTAGTATTTCTTTTATGAAATAATTTATTTATTTTATGAAATAATTAAAACGACAAAGGTCAAGTTAGCTGGAATGTCAATTTATCCGAGGGTACTGCGCTTTTTAAATCAATCAAATATAACGTTTGCCAGTTCCACAATCAAACCAACGATTTACTGAGGTTTCTGCACAGAAATCTGAAAGGGGTTTTCCATTTAGGTAGATGTTCATAATTACGTTTTACGCTTTTTGTTTAAGACCTGTCCAAATGCACATGCACAGATCAACTTTTCTTTTGTTTACCGATTACGTGAGCATGCGCATTTGATCTGACGAAGGAATTAACGGGATTTCTAGATTAGAGGGTCTTTTTAGAAGTGAGGAGCTGGACTCTTGTAAGATAACAAAAATTGAAAATGTATCACGAACATTAACGGGAAAATGGCCGTCCGAGCGGACGTCGGATTCGAGAAATTTGTCGTCCGCGGGGAATTTTTTGACCGCCGAGGACGGGCGGACGGGCGGTTTTTCGAGCCCTGACCTAGAGGCTCCGGGTGACGTTTGCGATTCATGTTCCTATATGATTTTTTATTCTTTTTGTGTGCAAGATTTATTTTTTTATTTTTTTCAAAAAAAAAAATAATAAATAAATAAAATATTAAAACAAATAGTATAAAAAAAATTTAAAGTCAATTCCTATTTACGTCAACAAAGGAAAATTTTATTTAATTACTTTTTATCAAATAATTAAAATTCTTTTCTCCCATATAAAACTAAAATTAACGAATTAAATTTAATGAATGAATTAATATTTGAAAAAACTGTATTAACATCAAGTGCCATTCGCTGCAAGTTCAAAATATGTATTTGATCTTGAGTGAATGAATAAAAAGTATTTTATGAAGGATTGAAAATTTGAACAAGATATAGGGAGAGTGTAAACTAATAGTAGGAATTGAATAACGATAATTGTATATATTCAAATTAAATGAGATTTGCTTTTAATTAGTAAGAATTAAAGGGTCTCTACTACAGTAAGAAATATTTTAGCAATAATAACTATTTAAACTTCATACACTGCACAGTTTTGAAATCCAAACGGTGTTTTTCTTTTTAAAAAAACTAACTATAGCATAATATAGCAATTCTTGCGAAGGAACTTTAAACAATTGCAAATTAAATAAAAACCCTTTTCAAACAAGCTTTCACTTTCTTCTTTTATCACAATCGTTAAAGCTTTAATCTATTATTCAAATTTAAAAAAATGATCAAATGCCATTGTTTATCTGTTTTAATGATGAATGCATTCTAATTATTCGTGGAAAATAATGAGAGTTCTGCGAATGTATAATGGTTTCAGTTAGCAGCAACTTTTGTTTAGACAAAGCATTTAATTCATTATGGCGACTCTTTCACTAATTGTTATTTGAAATGTCGTTAGTAAAATATTAAAAAAAACATTTATTTCCTTTTATTAGAGTCCCTAATTAATCGCGACATTTTAAATGAGACGAGCGGAAGAAAATAGAACCTAATTAAAGATTTTAACAACAATCATTTTGTTCTGACGTCTATTGGCGAATTGGCGATATTTTTGTCCAATAGAATCTTTAGAACATTTTTTTTTTTAAACTTTTAACTGTGAATGCGTATTTTTACAAACGATAAGTGGAAGAAAGGATAAAAACTACTTTTTGTCACAAAAGCTAGACCATAAATAGTTTTGTGTAAAAAGTTTCGTTCAGAATTGTGATATTCATTTAATCACCTATGTTCTTTCTGCGGCGAATTATTACCACAATGTGGAACATTTTTTCCTTTGTTATCTGCACTGTTGGAATTTCCATTCTAATATTATGGTAAAATAACCAGCGTCTGTCCATTCCAATCCAATTAATCGTTAAAGTTTATTGTGAAGAACGTTTTTTACCATTACGGTTTTGAAACCGTTAACAACTAGTATGGTTTTAAAACCGTAAAAATGAATTTATCTGGACATTGGACAGTGCATGTTCATATGTTGAGGGGCCGAATGGAGGTGTCAACCCTGGGATTCGGGCCCCCGTGCTGCTTGCCACGAAACTGAGAGATTAGCCCTCTCTACTATAATACGTATGCAGCAGCAAAAGAACTAAATGACTTCAATACGTGGGCTTAGTTGGTGCGATAAAATTCTGGTTGTTTAAATGTATTAGGCGAAAGCAGTTATAGTAAACGGTTTTTCTCACAGTTAACAGATTAAATACCATATTATTCATGGTTATTCAACTGTTTTGTTTGAAAATGGTAAAATAGCAATTAAAATAAATTGTTATTTAACCATTTTTTCCCAGAAATTTCCATCAGTGTTGTGATTGTGGTGATATTTTGCCTTTTGTAATCATTGTGGTGATATTTTGTGCTTTGCAAACTGTGCGGATATATTTTGTCCTTTGTGAAAATTGCGTGGACATTTCTCCCTTTGTTATCAGTGTTGTGATGTTTTGTAATAAATGTGGTCAGGGCCGGCTTATGTATGTCGCGGCCCCTAGGCAATGCTCGTCCCGCCCCCCCCCCTATCGTCTTCTAACTTCCTAATATATTTTTTCGCTAACACAACACTTTATTCATAATTACGCTGTTTTTTACTACACAGGTATATTATCACATTATTCAATAAAAATATTGAATCAAACGAAAAGAATATAAGTAATTAATATATGCATTTAAAAAAAATCATACAATGAGCCTAAATATTAACTCTTCTAACATTTTTTGTTACAAAATCGTTCAAGACATCCTGAAAGTTAACCTTTTCCAATACATCCTTTTCAATTGCCATTATGGCCAATGAATTTAAACGGTTTTGAGACATAGTTGAAGGAAGAAAGTTTTTAATTAATTTCAATTTGGAAAAGTTTAGTTCACCAGTGGCGTTTGTAATCATTAGACTTCTATATATTTGCAAAGCTGTCATTACATTCGGGAAAGTTGATTGTGCCATGTTACCAATAATCAGTTTGTAAGACTCTTCGTCAGGCACAATTTTTTTTCCGGCGTCTTCTAATTGTAAGATGAAATATTTATACTGCACCATTTCGTGTATAAACTCAGGCTCAATGTCCTCGAAATAATGTTCCTTAAACTTTGTACAAGCCTGTCTAATATCAACTTTTAATTTCTCTTTTCCTCTGAGCACAACTTTGGTAGCTCGGCCATAGAATATACATACCTATGGTAGGTATCAGAACAGTAAGTGTGCATTCACAACGTAGAATTTTGGCGTTTTTCAAGCGTGTTGTGTTAAAAAAGCTGCTCTTGCTGTATAGTCATCTGATTAGTCAGCGTTAAAATTACCGCGATAAAATTGCTTGCGATTATATTACTGCGTTACATATGAACTAACTACCATAATATTAATATCTAATTTGGAATGAGCTCAGAAATGTACTAAAATAGCGTCGATGTAATGTACAGAGCAAGACAATCGTCATTGAAATTGCGAATTAAATTTTTACTGTTTAAGAAACATTGTCAATTTTTTTCTCTGCAGCACAGGGCCCCTGAACGTGGCGGGGCCCCTAGGCAGTTGCCTACAGTGCCTAATGGATAAAACGGCCCTGAATGTGGTGATATTTTACTCTTTGCACACTGGAGTAAGAAATTAAGAGAATTTGCAGACTTGGTCGATTATCTCTAGAACTACAGGATCGATTTTAAATGAAATTTGATGTGTGCATACATTGATAGAATACAAAACAAATAACCATTCAACAATTGTAATGCACACGCATGATCGTGCGTAACACTCGTTGGAGTAGGAAGGTATTAAACAGCGGTTGCAGAATAAACGAAAAAAATGGGTTAATAGGGGGTAGTGTCCCCTCATACAGATATACAGGCTTTGCAGCATAATTTCATACTTGAAATAAGGTAGTTTATCATTTCCTGTGGCAAATGGCCTGAATTGTCCTGTGGCAATTTCATGCCTTCCTACTCCAACGAGTGTTACGCACGATCATGCTTGTGTTTTACAATTGTTGAATGATTATTTGTTTTGTATTGTATCAATGTATTGACACATCAAATTTCATTAAAATCAGTCCAGTAGTTCTAGAGATGATCGACCCAGTCTGCAAATTCTCAGGGCCCGACTTAGACTCATTGGGGCCCAGGGCAAATCCTTCGTTACATTTTGCGATATGTAAAAATACAGGCTATTGATTGACCAAACTTGTCCATCGTAATTACGAAAATTTAGCTGAATTCCGCCCTAGAAAGCCATGGATTTACGAAATACAGATTGTGTTCATACGATAGATTAATGAAGAACTCAACATAAAACTGACGGATTTTACACTGCACTGATATTTTGTCTAAAAAAAGTTCATTAAAGATGGAAACTTAAAACAAACTTTCTATTTGATTTGGGGGGGGGGGGGTTTGGGCAACTGCCCCGTACGTCCCTGCCTTAGTCAGGCTCTGAAAAATTCTCTTAATTTCTTATATCAGTGTAATAAGTGTGTTTACTCATTGTATTAAGTGTGGTGTTGTTTTCTTTGCAGCAGAGACCTAGCCCATACGAGCAGGCGATGCTGAAAAGGCTGCAGACTTACCTGGACTCGGAGGACAGGCAACGTTTCTCAGAGTCAGAGCTTCCATCCAAGCGTCAGATGCGTTACAACCAGTGTTACTTCAATCCCATCTCATGCTTCAAGAGGAGGAAGTAGACACATCCTTGAAAAGACAGCAGCAGCAAATTATCGAAATATTGTTTTCTTTTTCGTTTTAAAGTTTCTCCATCCATTCCAGAGGTGCCCCCTTAAGTAGCCCGTCTCTTTCATTCCAAAAACATATTGACTTTTCTTTTGTAACAACAACTGTCTTATAAGTTGCTCATTTTATGAATTGCCAATTTGATTTCAATACACCGATCGCGATACTAGTATCGACAATTAATAATAATATTACAACAAATAATATTTTTTAAAAAAATTAATGGTCAATTCCTACTTAGATCAAAAAAGAAAAATTGCATTTTAGTTACTTTTTATTAAATTATTACAATTATTTTCTCCCATATAAAACTAAAATTAATTAATTAAATTTAATGAATGAATTAACATTTGGTAAAACTGTATTAACGTCAAGTCCACTACAAGTTTTAAAAAAAAGTATTTGAATTTGAATGGAAGAATAAAAACTAGTCTATTACGATTAAAAATTCGAACAAAATATATAGATATACTATATAGGGAGATTGTGAACTAATAGTTGAAATTGAAGAAAAAAAAGGCTCGTGGTATCAGATAACTATAAAAGTATAAATTTGGCGACGTGAACCACACGAGCTACCACGTCATGTTCTTTATTGAATTGATCTGACACAGCGACTATAAAATAATTAAATATTTAAATGTGAGCAATAAACTTATTTTTTCTTCTGACAGAGCTATAAGTTAGAAATGATCACTGATGTTATTTTTAAAATATGTATAAAACTAAATCGCTTATAGTAAAGTTTAAAACAATGACTAAGGCTTAACCCATCAGAAAATTCCATTTCGTTTTTCGCTCATCCCTATTTAATGAATGAATTAATATTTGAAGAAACTGTATTAACATCAGTTTAAAAAAAAAATGTACTTGAATTTGTAGTGGATGAATAAAAAGTATTTTATTAACGATTGAAAATTTGAACAAGATATATAGGGAGAGTGTGAACTAATAGTAGGAATTTAAAAATTAGTAGAACTCTTTATTGTTAATGTGTGGCGTAACTACCACTATAAATATTAAATACCGAATCACTAGTATATAAGAGATGTTAACTTGATTCTATCATGAGGTACCTTTTGACAGATGAAGGTTGACAATAGTCGATAATTAAATCCCCTCATTGGTGACCTGCTGGCGTGATAAGAAATTGTTAATATTGATGGATGAATCCACATTAAACGGTTGATTTGCTTAAAAAAAAATATATATACTGCTCAAAGAAAAGAAAAAGAAGAAACAAATCCGGTAAAGTGTAAATAAAGTCTCCCGGTTAATAAATAATAATGAGTGAAATGCTAGAAGAAAAAAAATAATAGTAGCGAAAAGCTATAAAAAAAATGATGGGAAAAAATAGCGAAAAAGCTATAAAAAAAATTAAATAACGAGCGAGATACTCGGAAGAAAAAAAATAAATATAATGAGCAAAAATTTGAAGTTAATAAATAAAACAGCATTAATCAACTAGTGGTATCTGTTCATCGAATTCTATCACAGATAAAATTCTGGAAGGGGAGTAATGTGGCGTAGCTACCACTATAAATATTAAATACCGAATCACTAGTATATAAGAGATGTTAACTTGACTCTTTCATGAGGTACCTTTTGATAGATGAAGGTTGAAATAGTCTAAGATTAAATCCCTTTACAAATTCACTAACATTTTGAAAATCGGGCTATACAATCACAATAACTAAAGAGTACTAAACTGGTAAAAGTACTATTGAATCTACTTGATCAATTATTATAATGATATTTGAATTGTTACTGTCATTGTTGACAATTATTGAAATTTGTGACAAGAAAAAAATATAATTCCGAATTAACAGTTCGACTAAACAACTCCAAAATATACTGTAAAAGGATGGTTTTATTATAATATTACCTGAAACCTTCAACTAGCTATGTAATTGGTTTCGATAATAGTTTGTGCTTTATTTGTAATATGTATGTGTTGTATTTTTCAGCAAATTTTGATTGAAATTTATTCTTATTGACTCAAATTCTTTAAAGAAAAGTATAATAAATCAACTTACTTGATTACTTTTGATTAACACAACTCTGAAAACTCACGCTGATGATAAATTTAATTTGCAACTCATCTGATAAGCAATTTTGCATTTGCATACGCTTGCTGAAGGAAAAAAAAATTTAGATTCTGAAGTCACCAGTAGCTAGAAACGAGGAAAATCTTTATATTTCAAGGAATGTTTTAATATGCAGATTTTGTTTAAACCAAACCCTTTCAAATTACTTGGGCTCTAAACGCCTCTTTCATCTATCATTAAGGAAAAGATTATTTGCTTAAAGTAAATACATTTCACAATCTGCCAAAACTCAACGAAAACAGTGAAAACTTTTCGAAGCGCAAAATTAAAAAAAAAAAAAAAAGCTATTTAAACAAAAGAGATCAAAACTTCAATCGTACGAGAAATGACTAATGAATAAACTTTCCCACGAGTTCGAATTTCATTTAAAATATTCGAACATTTTATCTTTTGTTTTGATGTGTGCGTCCAGTTAGACATATTTTGACAGAATATATAGTTTGAATAATAAGACTATGATTATAGTTAAAATAAATCAAGCAGATTCCTTGTGTAATAAAATTAATAACATGATTCTATTTCGAAAATTGGATCCGTTGTTTTGTCTTTTGTACAAACAAAAAAAAAAAAGAAAAAAAAGAAAAAGAAAAAAAACTCACTTTCTCTGCAACAATAATATCTAACAATTTAAGACAAAATTATGTCTGACCACCTCTACATATTAACTTAAAGTGCAGATATATAATTAGGATGCTAGAAAACTGCTTTTTACTTACTTTTAAAAACATTTAAAAAAAACTTGATATTTATTCTGAAGAAGTACTACTAATACTGTAAAATTATTTTCTATTAATACTGTGAAACTAAGTTTGTTTAAGATAAAAGATTCGCCAACCAGATGGATTTTTCCAAACAAAAAATATTATGATCCAGATAGTCATTAAAGCTTAAGTCTGAAAACTAAAAAGCTTCAAAAGAAATTTTGTATTTTAGAAAGATCTAAATAAATTGTATGAACGTATATAAATATTTATAAAGGAACACATATATATATATGTTAACACAAAGAAGAAGAAAATAAAATAGAAAAACTTGAATTGGGGAAACGTAAAGGTCTTCATCAGGACACATACTTTACAATAAATGCGATATTTCTGAATAAAGAATAATTATCCTGAAATAAAAATTACTCTTTATAATGTATATATTACCATTGAGAATATTAATAAATTATATTAAAGCACACTAGGAGAAGGGCCGGACTCAGTCGGGCTTGTCACCTGAGAAAAGTGTTCGAACCCATGATCAAGTTTTACACAATTCCGAATTCCAGTCCACAATTCCAATTACACAATTTCAAACTAAACACAATTACAAATATCTGGCTGGTTATTAAGCATAAAAAGTGTAAGAATTAATTTAGTGCAAAAAATTAAGAAGTCATAATTCTTGAAGTAATCCTTTCTTCTTATTACTGGAAAAGACATTCAAGAGACAAAATTATTGATTTTATCTTATGACCAGTACATAAGTCTTATCAGTAGTTTTTTTATCTGTCTTTTTCATTTGTAAATTTTGACTTTTTTATATTACGAATTTTAGAGATTTTAGTTATCTAATAATGTATCGGAATCGGATTTAAAATCTCCCTAAAAATTGAGCCTCAGGTCATCTTTAGAACATGAAACTTATGCGATCTCCTATATGGTGTTTCGATAAGCCCTTGTATGATAAAATTATCATGAAAATTAAATAATAATCTGAAAGGGTAAAAATAATCATAAATCAAAGGAAGTCAATGGAAGAGTGGCACTTAATTAGGCATCCATTTCGTTCTATGGTTACTTATATATTCATGTTTTTATATGTGTTTGTACGTGTGAAATATTCCCTCTACTCTTATTTATGTAAAAATGTTTTCCTCCTCTTACAAATAAAGTGTCTTTTCCTTCTTCTTTCTTTCAAAAAAATAATTCAGCATGATCACGAACACACAACACATTCAGTTTCCACACAAAACTTTATAGTATACAGATATGGAGTAAAACATCGTAAATAAAGCGCAAAGGTACAGAAGGGCCGGGATATCCTGGTTGGTAGGGCGCTGGGTCCATGTTCGTGGGTTCGAACCCCTCGGGCCGAAGACTCACCGTGTAGAAAATGGTGACTAATGCACGTAAAATATGTCAAGTCGCGAAGTCCTCCATGTTTCCTCTGGGGGTACTGAATTGGAGATTGATCGTTCGCTGATTCAGGTCAAAATTACTATCTGTAGATGAATGAATGGATGTATGAATGGGTATAAACGGATGTGACGTATGGTGTGGCAAAAGTCGAATTCTTAGCCATAGATGGCGCTACTGGAAAACAAGAAAAATCGCACCCCTCTGCATAAACAGGCATACGAGTGAGTGAGAGAGAGGTACAGAAGTGGACATACCCTACAGTTCGAGTTGCGATGGCTCAGGGGATAGAGCGTTCGCCTTCCAATGAGGCGAACCAGGTTCAAATCCCAGTCGATACGAATTTCGCATCCGGCTTGCACCGACCACAGTGCTGACGTGAAGTATCCTCAGTGGTAGACGGATCATAGGTTAGAGTCCCCTTGCCGTCAGGATAACCGTGGGAGGTTCTCGTGGTCTTCCTTTTCATGTAACGCAAATGCGGGTTAGCTCCATCAAAAAAGTCCTCCACGAAGGCAAGTTTCTATCAATACTCGATCCAGGAGTTCCCTTGTCTTCTGGATTGGGTTCGAAAAGACAAGGATATGGAGTTGAGCATTAGTAGTCGTAAAACTATAAAATTGGATCGACTATTCAACGACGGTCATAAATTATAAAATAAAATAAAATACCCTACAGTTTCGGTTCTATAAATAAAGACCATTCTCTTTCAGTGTTTAAACGGCAGATATACATGGAAAGTTGAGACGAACACGTGCAAAGATGTTCCACCATTAACTCTTTTGATCGTGTTTGTTTCACTTTTTTCTACTGTCATTTGTTGTGAAGAAGGTTCTTGTTTATAGAACGGAAATTGTAGTACATTTGACTATTTTCATTTGTGCTTTATTCATACGTAGCCCAAAGTATAACCTATCGTCTTTCAGACCACTCTTTGAGGGTTACGCAAATAAAAAGTGGACATATGTGATAGCGTTTAAAGTATAATACAGTCAAATCCCGCTATAGTGAACACGGCTTATAGTGAACTCCCGGATATAGTGAACGAAATGCTCGGTCCCGTGCCTTGCTATACACGTATAATGTTATTTTTAGTGGATATAGTGAACCAAAAAAGTGAGGAAGTTGGATATAATGAACTTTTTTCTGTCTTCGACTGATTCCCCCCCCCCATTTTCTTTGTAATAATTTTGAAATTTCTACTTCAAAATAAATACATATACCGATTTTTAAAACCATCTATAGAAACTACTTTTATGTGCTCGAATGGCAGGTTAGACAGGTTTAAAAAGCGGAATAACAGAAATTCAGGAAAAATTATCTGAGAGTCGGGAAGTGTTTCCATATCTGATGTTGAGGATTGCTCATCAGCTAAAGATTACTAATTTTTATTTGTACGCAAGACGAAGAGTGATGAAAAATAACACATTTTTTGCTACTACATAATATTTTTCAGTCATTTATATGAATATAATGTA